AAAACGCTAAATACTTACTTAAGAGGCACTTAGTCCTCACCATGAAGAAAACTGCAGCGGAAAATAAAATCTAGCGAAGCTCCGGCTCCACTCCCACAGGCAGCTCAACTGGGGTATAAGCCAAACGTCTTCTCCTTCTGGATCCTTTTTCTTCAACTGAGGTTGATTGATTATTGCAAGGTTAGCATATGACATACTCAGCAAGCCACACAGCAAATATGCAAGTGCACAAGGATACCAAAGGATGGCATAATATAGGCTCATTTGCGAAAGCAGCATTTAGCAAAGAGTTAAGAGTAGTAAAACAGTAGAGTAATTAATCAGAAATTTTAATCAACACTGAACAGCACACCCATGCTGTACAGGCCCAACCATCCTGAACAACCATACCCCGCTGTACAGATCTAACTCCAAACCAGGAGCTAAGCAAATTATTACCAGGTATAACATCCATAATTATTGTGAGAGGTGTGAGACTAAACACGAAAAACATTGCTCAACCCGCCCATAACCGCGGGCACGGCTATTCGAATAGTTTTACTCTGGCCAGAGGTGTACCACTGTACCCACAAGACACAGCCCCACAACATGTCACCATGTGCCTCAGTACCACCACGGTACCTCGGAAAGGAGCTGTGACATTACCCCTCGCATAACACAACCCACCACAATGCACCTTTCCTGGATCATAATCACCCCCTCAAAAACCAGAGGCATGGACTCCCCAGCGACCCCCGTGGGCTTATCTCCGCCACTTCTCAGTCTGGTGCTCTGCAATGAACCATGCTATACGAAAAGTAAAGCCGTTGCCCACGCTGGCTTGTGGTTGGCACGATTAATGTTTCACAATAGTAGCTCGCGAACCGGTCCTTAATTGTCATGAGCACGACTCTCAAAACCATGTGCTCACAACCCACCATTATCAAGTTTTAGTTGGCAAGTAATTAATTAACCAATCACGATTAACCATCGTGAACTATCATTAAGCCATCCTTAAATAATAGTGAGTCATAAGTTATCCCAATAGTGTGCTAATGTTTCTAAGCATGGCTAAGCAATCATATCTAATATCTAGCTCAACCAATATATAAAGCTCAACTAGTCAAGTTATAATAACCCAAGGTATCAAGGAATAAAGTAATCAATGCAAACAGGCCATAACAAAGGAATAGATTCACACCACCCAGTGACATTCGAAAATAAATGCACAGTTGAAATAAATAGAGAATTTAAATATAGGATCAACATGCTCAAAGGATTGTGTTTAGGATCTGTGTGACTTGCATTGCAATAATCGGTCTTCAATTAATCTTCTGAACACTCCCGACGCACTCACGAACCTTCGCAACGACGGAAACGACAAGCTAACACGCAAAACGAAGAAAAAGACTAATAAAAACCAAATAAACAGTACATATAAAGTAAACAAACATGTAGATCATGATTTTAGATGAATTTAGCAACTTGAACCACTCAAAACCGAGTTACGATGATTTAGTTATGAATTTCCGAAGATTTAATCTATTAGAAAAACAGGAAAAAGAAAAACGATGATGACGTCATGATGACCTCATCAATGGCCGGACCAAGATGGCGACCTCGCCGGAGATTGGATGGTCGGCTGCGACTTTGGAGGACATGAACACGTAGAGGACGACGAGACGAACCCAACGGTACTCACCCTCGAACCAAACGACGAACGACGACGGCCGGCGACGAGGTCTAACGGCGGCGCGGCTTCGGTCGACGGCGACGACGGGACTCCGGTGACCGGCGACAGCGGGGAGAGAGCGGCCGGGCTTCTCCACACCTCGGCGCACCTTACGGCGGTGACGGCGACCGGCGGCGACGACGGAGGCGGCGGCGCGACGCGGATGGAGCTCGGCCGGCGACGACGGCGGGGTGGAGCACGTGGCGGCGGCGCTACGAGGCACGGGAGATCACGGGAGAGGGGGCAAACGAAAGAGGAGGACTAGGGGGTCCTATTTATAGCCTTGGATTAAAGAGATCGGACTCCTCCCGCAAGAAATCGATCCGGGAAATCAAAAACTCAGTTTTGGAGATAAACTCGAAAACGAGTTCGATCCGGATAAGATACTCAACGATTAGCTCCGATTTTTGGGGGTAAAGATAGAGGAGGATAAGAGGAATATTTCCCCTCAACTAATTTTAGATAAACACAAGGGGAAAGGTCAGATTTGGAGGAGAAAAACCGAGCCAAATCGGTCTCAGTTCGGCTGCTAGAGGTAGAAGATAAACAGTGTCGAGGGAGGCAAATTAGACTTTTCGTCTTGGGCTGGCTGAAAACAAAGAAAAGAAAGAAAGAGAAGGGGGAAACTCGGCTGGGCTGACTTGGGCTGCACGGCCGTGCACACAAAAGAGGGAGATGGGCTGGAAAGGGCCCAAGACTAGGAAGAGGATTATTATTACTTTTCCAATTAAATTAATCAATGAAATGATCTTTGAATTGTTAAAAATACTTCCTATGCTCAAATAATTCCAAGAAAAATCTTGAAAATACTTGGACACTCAAAGTACTTAACAAAATTATAATTAGACCATTTAATGATTAATTTAATATGTGGGTAATTACTGAAATGCTCTTTGTATGATTAAAATTAGGAATTGAGCTCCGAAAAATCCGAGAATATTCCAGAGAGTATAATTAACCATGGAGAATTTAATAAAAATTAAATCCATCCATGCTTTATATTTAGGAAATTTTATTTCCCACATTTAACTTCACTTGTAAATTAATGAACATTTAATATAAATTCTAATAATAATTTATTAAATAATTTATAAATCCTGAAACAAAAATCAGGATGTGACACATGGACTCTGACAAGGATACGCCACTCATTTTGGGGCGTCAATTCCTTAGCACTGCGGAGGCTAACATCGATTTGGGAGCTAGGAGTATCCGGCTCCGCATTAACGGGAAGGAGGAAAAGTTTGAGTTTTGACCTAGGACGGAGTGGTGCTCTATGGTGAAGATCAAGTACGGGCCAAATCCACATAATATACAAGAGGTTGAAGTGAAGCCGCTAACGACGAACAACCTAACAGCTTTCATGAAGAACTTCCTCGAGAAGGAAGCAGAAATGAGCAAGCCTCGTCCAAGAAATACACCAGTAAAGCCAGGGGCGCAGGCTAGAAAGCCTGTGAAATCAGTTGCTAAGAAGCCACAAGTCACACCAAAGATGAAGAAGGTGTGGCGGGTGAAACAGATGACATTCGGTCCCTCACCTCCGGAGCCGGGTGCCACATCGTCATGCTAAATAGGATGGTGGTACAGTCTTGCTCGTCGGACCTGAAATGACATCGCCCTCACTAATATACTATCATCGGTTTCAGTGCCGCTAATGAGGGGAAGCCGATGGAGCCTTAGGCTGAAAAGTGTTAGATGTTAGAATTGATAGTATTGATCAAAATGAAAGATGGAGAGTTCAAAGAGAACTTGCCAATGGAGGAGGTGTCAGTCGAGGAGTTGGTTGCCGATGAGTAGAAGCTGATATGGTTTTTGTCTTCAGAAAGATAATAAAGTGTTAGAAGATATGAATGTTGTCCAGATAGAGTGGAAGGATGCAATATTTACTCTTGCTCGGGGTTGGCCGACGACGAGGAGGTAGAGGAGGAGGTTGCTCACTGGCTTTGCTGCTTTTGTCCTCAGGGATATTGCTGGCATCTTCATCTTCATTAGTAACATTGGTAGGTTCATCGCCCATATCGGCAGCAACATTTTCGATATCTTCCATGGCGGCACTGAAACCGATGATAGTCGGAGCTATTTCCCTATATGGTAATAAAGCTTGAGCATATACTATCGGCTGATTACTATCACTAATTGTGGAAGGACATCGGCGGCCTACAATAAAAATGGATTAACGGTAGAGAAGTTTATGAATTGCAAGGGCTAATTGAAGGATTGACTATGGTTAAGTAAAAGTTAGATCCCAAGACGTAAAGATGTTTCATCCACTCAATCCACCATTAATCAAACAATCGGCTGCGCATGGGATGGATATCGATATCGGCAGGAGAGCGTAAGATAGGTCCTTCAAGGTTTAGCAGCCGATCAAATAAGAGAGTTGAGATCACTATTCCCCTAGTTTGAATTTTTCTTAAGAAGTATAGACCAATTGGGAGTTGGCCATATCCTAGTTGTCGGGCTGCCACCATTAAATGATAGAATTCGTAAGAGACCTCAGAGTAACGGCCGGTAGATATACCAGTCGAAAGGATGCAGGGTGAGACAACTGATATAAATATATCTCTGGACTTGTTGTCACTGTTGATTTCATCCAATCTCAAATCAATTGGGAGCTCATAGGAACTGAAATCAGTGTTGGAGTACCAAATTCTAGTGCTTCTGGGAAACCATTATAGAAGTGTTCAAACCAAATTTGAAGTTTTTCATCCAATGGTCCTAATCTAGGGTAGATTGATGTTGCTTCTCTAAAGGACATACATTGGTGAGTTATTTCATCGGCATCGTTGGAAATACATATTCTTCGAGGGTTGGACATACGATTAGCAACTTGAACTGTATAGAGATTGAGCCAAAGTTGGACAAACCACCGAGGCCCTCCACATCCTATCGGCTTGCCAGTTAGCAATTTTCTTGTTGTTTTATGCAGAAGTTGATACGTGGCCCCAATAGATATTTTCCTAAAGGCATCTCTTTACCATTAAAAATCATTAAGAGCGGCGGGCTGGGCGGCCGCTCGGCGTGTCCACGTCAGCGATTTGCTACAGTACTACAGTGCTCGGGTGTATTTTTTGCAAAAAAAGCCCTTAGATTTGTCCATAATTCGGAGTAGGTTCCTCATGAAAGTCGCTCTGAGGCGATTTTTTATTTGGAGGCCCTTTAAAAAACTGGATATTGCATGTGAAGGAGGGAAAAATTGCGGATTAGGAGTGCGCTGTAAAAAGTGGAAGTATAGGGGCTTTTTCGCAAAATGCCACCCACTTAACCAAACCCTAGACGCCGCCGCCCCCTTCTCTTCTCCCTCTCGTCTCTCCCTCCCCATCTCCCACCGTCGCCGCCACGCGCCGCCGCCTCCGTCTCCGCCTTCCCCTCTCGCCGACGCGAGCGCGTCTACCTCCGCCGCAACGGCCACGTCCACCTCCGCCGCCGCGGCACGCGTCCCCTCCTCCCTCTCGTCTCATCCTCTTTCTCTCCCGTCGCCGCCGCCTCCGCCTGCCCCTCGCGACGCCACCTCCGCCTCGCGCCGTCGCCATCGTCGTCCCTGTCGCCTCGAGCCGCCGCGTCCATATCCACCTCCGCCTTCCCCTCGCGTCGCCGCCTCCGCCTTCCCCTCGCGTCGCCGCCTCCGCCGCCGCCGCCGCGCCATGTGGTTGCTCGCCGCCGTTGGAGAAGCTGGATCCGATGGCCAAGCCCTCAAGGCCGTCGCATCTTATGGCGGCAAGTTCATGGCCGGCCAATCCGGTGGTTTGACGGATGATGGAGGGGATGGTGGTGATGGAGCAGTGGGGCGAAATCCTTGCCCATGCCACCAGCATCCCTTCGCCACGTCCCTCTATCTTCTGCTCTTGCGATACACGAGCCGCTGCCGTCGTCGAGCATTGCCTCCCTCCCCAACATCTTCCGGGGCGTTCGAGGTGGTAAGGTGCTCGATCCGGTGATGATACGATCGACCTCAACGGGGAGAAGCTCGGTTAACTGGCGCTACGATCGATCTAGATGGCTTACTCACAAGGCAAGCCTGTCATCACACTGTCCTAGAATCGGGTCGCCCCAGTGACGCCCTTGTCTGGTGCTGCATGCCTCCTCATCCTCTCCCTCACGCGACTGCAAGATTTGAATCACTCCGGTGAGTCTCTGGTTCGTTCTCGGCTTCTCAATCCTCTGCCTTCCTTGATTTTTTCCCCTTTTTCTTTGTTCTTTACTTTGCTGATGTGCATAGGTGAATTCTTTGTTCTTTACTTTGCTGATGTGCATAGGTGAACGAGAAAAGCGTCCAGCCAACCACTTCTCCTCGTTGACTGTCTTTATCTTCCCTCCAGCCCTGGCAGCAATAGAGCAAGCTCATGTCACCATAGTCCCATGCTCTTGGGGAAGGAGATACTAGCATCCCGCCTACGGAAATTGCCATCGCCGCTGCTTCCTCAAGGTTTGCATTATTTTTCACGGCCGTATTTGTTGCCACATGAAAAAAAATGTTAGCTGATATTGTTTTCCTATGTTACAACAGGTGAGAAAGATAGTACAAGGAAAACATGTACTTTGGGGAATCTGTTATGGACAATAGTAAAGGGAGAGTTTCTTTTACAAGAATAAACCATAAACCATTTCCAATTTACCATTATTATTCCGCAATATAGAACGACAAAAGCCTGAGCTCACCCGATCTGAAATTTTTTCAGCTTTTATCTTATTTGACAGTTCAAGAACTGGTGTAATAGTTGATAGAACTATACTTGCAGAAAATAGAAAACATGACCTCTGCGTGCAGGCGAGATTCTCAGTGGTGATGCAGACGGAGGCAGTACAACATTCACAGTGGTAACATGACACTAAGGTTTGGTTGATTGGGCGAAGAAAAATAGAGTTTGGTCAGGATGCAGTGTTTCCTCTGAGAAAATTGTTGCAAAAAGCAGCTGCACAAGACAATTGTGAGGTATTATAACTGCATTTATGGACTAAATTTGGTTCTATCGAATTCGCTTGATTCGTACTATACATGTTTATATATGTTTGGATTGTATTACAGTGCGATATGAAATAAAATAAATTTCAATAGTTGAGTTGGATTACATGGTGAAGGATTATAAACACAAGTAACCTAATTATGTGGATATATTGTATGGGTTTCCTATAATAAAAGAATTGTACAACAAACACAATTTGCTCTATGTAGTATTCAAATTCAAGTATTTAGTACAAATAAAAAAGGTCATTTAAGGGGATTGAGTAGTGCAATACATAGTTCTTCCATAGTACCATAAGTTATATATGGAAATAGTCATGCCAGAGCTGTAGAAGCTAGAAAGGCTATACTGTAAGTACGGTTACATAGAGAAATGCACATTATGTAGATGTACAGTTTATACAGGGGTGTAAAGCAAAAGGGCTGTATAAAGTAGTATTATATACAGAGGTGGCAAAGCTATATAATTTAATTGAGCAATGCAAAAAGGTTTATATATGAAAGTGGAATGAGATGTCTTACTATTTCATCCTGTTTATTACAAAAGGGATTTAGGAAGTGGAACCATCCAGTTGACCTATGAAAACAAAAAAAAGTATTAATCATACAGGTTACATCAAGTCAGTACATGCTATTTGTAATGTGCTGTGTTAATGAGTAATCGATGTACCTTATCATGTTGCTTTTATCTAAACGATGTATAATACGTGATTAGGAATCCTAGAGAGTTCTTGCATTGGTAGCAGTGTGCTTTGAGCCTTTGAGTCAGTATACAGGCGTCATGTGCGAAGTGTTAAGATTAATTTGTAATGGATCTTCCGTGCCACGATTTGTCGATTTCACATGAAAGTTCTACTCTTCGTGTCCTCCTCATATTAATAACAATTCTCTTTTATGATGTTCTACAGCGCTTCTGAAAAATGAATATATATCACTGGTGACAGATTATAGATTTGGACTTACGTAAATTGGTATGGTATCCTTGTGAGTATTCATCTACAGTTCAAGGTATGATACATACACTGCATATATTTATAGGTCCATCATCCTTGTTACAGTTTCTTTCTGTTAACCAGATAATAATGTTTTCTTGTATGTCCCCAATTATTATCATTCCTTCTCACACAAAAATTGTGCCTTTTGTATTTCTGTAATTTTGTCATAAAATGCTACCACTTTGTATATTACAAGGAAATAACCATTATCATGGTTTCTTATTAGTCAATGGCATGTTTCCGAGAACAAGAAAGGATTAATCAATACTCTTTCTGAGAACAGGAAAGGATTAATCAATACCAACTTCTTTTTGTAATTTTATAGAAATTGTTGGTTTTCCTTAGCAGTGGCTGGTGATGAATTTCACTGCATCATATTTTATTTGCTTTCAGACAAGATATGATGGCAATTGTTCCACATGAAATCTGCTAACACATGCATATTTGGTATGTACTTCTATCCTGATTATATGGCTTTACCTGCCCTTTTCAATGCCTTCTACGGAGTGTCGCCTATTAAAATCAGTAATTGACAAGCCACATGGCATGCTCATAGTTTTTTTGGGTTAAATAACTTGAAGCATTTCAGCGTAGAAGCTGGGTAAAGTATGGGACAAGTATGTCGCTGATCATCTCCACTTAAGGCGAGAAACATTTTTCTTCATTTGTTTCAGGAATTGTAAATGTTCTTAGGTTTAGAGGTGAGATCCATGTGCATGCTATCTAACTGATGCTCTCTGGTTTACCAAATTTGTGGACTTCTATGTATTGAATGATACCCTTACAGGTTGTATTTGAAAGGTCAAAATAATTGATGCATCACCATGTTTCTTGCCCTATTCATTCTATTTGAGAACATATTTATATATTACTACTGCCGGCATATACAAGTTACAATTTACAAGTTGTTACCTTTACTGGAAGGCATATACAAGTTACTATATCCCTTTTTTTTTGACCAAAAACAGCAGGAGAAACTCCTTCTGTCCTATATTAATATATATATAAAGAACAATATTTACATGAGAGAACTACAAGATTAGAATATACAAAAACTTATGCTAGAGTTTGGCATTTATTCTTTCTACTCGTTGAATCAAGAGAGTATCTTCAAGTAATCCTAGCTCTGAATACTTCAAATTATCACTTATCATTGTAGCTGAGATATATTTTCTTACTTTAGTTACTTCTTGCTTTAAATTATCTATACAAACAACACCTTCGTGAATATGGTTTAATGCACTCCAACGAGTTTAACACTTCCTTTAGCTCTATAATTATGTGCAGATTTTTTTAGTTTAAATTCACCTTTTAGAGACTATTCTTGTGATTGAAATTTTTTGGATACTTATTTTTTCCTCAAGTTCATTGAGTGTGGTCTAGGCATACATGGTTGCATCATTTTGCCATGGATTTTATCACTTGAGAATATGCATGCTAGAATTAGGCTTCTTATCTTTCAGGTTTTTTCTAGGGTTAATTTAAGATTAGAACTGGCATGTACCTTTATATGTAAAGAATTTTGTTTTTTCACCTCAAACCCTCTATGGTGTGTACTTCCTACAGAGTAATACGTAGCATGTTTTCTCTGTTCAAAATTTAAGGTCATATATACATATTCATTTAGTCCTGGTATTTAAGTAAGATCCATTGCAGTGAGTGTGTGTATATGAACTTTTGTATGTAAATATATCTAACCAATTTACTGTGGCTTATACAAAATTAGATCCTAAATTACATTGAGAAACCTTTTGTATTTCCAATCAACTATACTAGAGCATATATGTATAGCTACCAGTATTGTGCATTTGAAAAATAGAGCATTTTTTCCACCAACGGTGGTTGATCTGTTAGTCTCAGGTCCCAATTAGATGCAATATTTCATCTTAGTGCAATTTATTTTGATCTTCAGTTTGACCTAAATAATTGTAATTTGCATATGTCCTATTTTTCTGATCAATGACATTCTTAAATATTCCTATAGGATGTTAGCATCTCATACATGAGCTTTGATCTATATACACCACACTTGGTATTATCTCTAACCATGTTGAATTATCATGACATCGATGCATTTTAACCTGAAGGAATTATAATCGTTCAGAATTTTGTAATTTACATTAAGTATACCATGGCTGAATAATATAATGATTCAAGTTTTTAGTTAGTTGTATTTCTCGAAAATGAGTTGGAGTTGTTTGGTTGAATTCCTGTAGGTACAGCTGTTGCTGCCATTTGTGTACATTGGGGAAATTTTTTAAACATAAACTAACAAGACATATATATTTTGCAGTACATTTTAGACACCCATTGCCTTGGATACTAAGTCTAACTAGACATGTTTTCTATTTGTCAACCACCTTTTTGTTCGGTCAAATAATAATTGATCTACACTGGAGTTATTCTCCATTCTCCAATGTAAATATAATAACTAATGTAGTTTAGGATCTGATGTATTTCCTTTCGATATAGATGAGGCTGACAGTGCAAACAACAATGAGCTGTAGTACAAGTTGTAAGCATTTCCTTTTTACATACTGACAATTGTACTAACAGATATCATGATATACTAATGATATTGCTACATTTGACAACTGTTAAAGCCTTTGCTCTCATCCAGGAAGCTGGCTTTGGAACCCAACACCTCTAAGCGGAAATGTGCACGCATATCAGAGCTGGCTAATAGTAAGCATATCTCTATAATTAAAGGATGCTAGAGAATTTAAGATTAATAGCTGAGCTATCTATTCCCATAATAGGAGAGTAACTAAGGATCACATAAATCTCAGTCAGTAACAGTCCATTGTAGGCACTATGTCATGCTCTCCTAAGCGTGCTACATTGTAATTCATCTGTCATCCTATGAACAGCCAATCATTATCTTTATTATTCTTAAGGTTTTTGTTTAGAACTCAACTTATAAAAATGCTGATGTGCCTTTAAAAAATAGCTTAGTTAGTCATAGGATCATGTTGTTCTATATAATGAAGGGAAAAAAGAGAGGTATGCCGTTTTTAGTTTCCTCAGTGTGAAAATAGTTTATTTAACCAAACCACTTTATTACTGATGTTTATAACTATCCCATTTTATTACCTTTCTTCAGTGCTGCGTGCAGTTTGTGACTTTACTCAGAAACACAAGGCCGCAACCAAGTCGCTAAAGTGATTAATTAAGTGCATCGCTATTTTGGCCTGGTTAGTGCATTTTGTAAGTTTGCCAGCTAAACTGTACATTTCCAGAGGTAGAATACTATCATATAGGTGCGATTATTATATACTTGTATTGTGCTATATACGTCCTGGCATCAATATATATGCTATCTACCTATATTATCATTGTGCTGCTAATGGACACATCTTTATTTTAAGGCATTCTTCTTGTTACAACCTGTTTGATCATATTGCCAATACCGTAAATGTGCATATGATGTTCTTGGCAGGAAATGCCCCGTACCTTTTACAATGCTTTTGCTTGTAACATAACAAATTATTTGATCTTATTTAGAATCTATAGTCAGTTATATGGAAAAACATGAGTGTTCGATCATTATGTGCACTATTTGTTTCAATTTTTTATCATTATGTCTCATCAGTATCTGGAGATTGTTCTTTTCGTTTGGAGAAATCTTGAGATTGTTCTTAACACCTAGAATTTATTTATGGTTGTTCTACCTGTTCACTATACAATGGGTGCTTAACTATACTTTTCAGTTTTCTCATAGCTTTGATCATGCATGTTAATATCTATACTGAAAGAACATCTAATCTACTATGCTTAACATCTTAAGACAAAATTAATATGTTCAAGTTACTTGTGAGATCTGCTTTCAACCTTTTATTCAAAGAAGGCCTTAGGCTTAAGTTTATATAAGATTTCCTAAATGTTGCACTTAGCTTGTCAAAGCTTAATGACCTCGTGTTATTAGTTAAAACTGCATGAATACCTTTTTGTTCATCATGAATAAAAATCCAATATACTAATATCAGCACGCATTCATTCGTAGGTTGTTCTTGGCTACATAAGATTGATCCACGATATTAATGCCAGATCCATTGATCTATAGCAATTGTAGATCAGTTGGCAGTGGCGGAGGGTAAAATTAATCAGCGGTGAGCAGCTTGATGCTCTCAGGTATGATCCACTATCCAGTTTTGTTGCTGATGCTCACCAGAGCAACGTTGCCCCACTTCCTTTTTTACAGTCCTCTCATGTTAGAGAGGTTGAAGTGATAGATTACTTTTTCTTTTGCATTCCTCTTGAAAAAAAGCAATATTCAGATGAATTCGTTTGTAGTGTGGTTGTTTCTATGAAGAGAGGTCTAATTTGTTTGGAGGATTAGAGGGATGCATGAAGTTTGAAGAAATTTTGGAACTAATATGAGAAAGAGGACGCAATGCTCATTTGTGGCAATTGATGCAAAAAGCAGCTGGATAATACAACTGTGAGGTATTATACATTGCATTTATCTGCTAATTTTGCTTCTATCAAATCGGCTTGATTCATTTGGTACATGTTTATATAGCAAGTTTGATTCTTGCATTATGTATGAATAGTATTATAGTGCCATGCTAAAGAAAATAAATTCGATAGGTGAGTATGAATAACATGGAAAAAGGTTTTAGCTGACTAGCGATCAAATCACGTGGAACTATGTTCTGTATGGGTTTCCTATATATAAAAATTTTAGAGCAACTACAATTTACTCTGTAGTATTCGGATTGGGGTATTTGCTGCAAGCAGTGCAGTACATAGTTCTTACATAGAACCCTATGTATTATATGCATGGGAATGGCCATGGTAGAGTTGTACAAGCCCAAAAGGCCAAACTGTAACTAAGATTGCATAAGAGCTGCAGATTATCTAGAGGCACAATAACGATACAGGAGTATAAAGAAAAAAAATGTCATACTTTAAGTAGTCTTATATATAAAAAAATGTCATACTGTAAGTACTCTTATATACAGAGGTGGACAGGTGGTAGAACATACTTCATATATACTTCGTGTTCTCGGTTGTGTCTTAATTTGGATCAAAGTTATCACCAATTATGCAACTAATTATGAAGTTGTATGGCAATTTTAAACAACTAATCATATGCTTTTACATGAGAAATGTTTGTGTGCCATGATCTTCAATGGCCCACATAACTCATGTAGTCAGGTATTACATTCATGCTTGCTCTTACTTCTCATCTCGATTCATTTCAGTTTTAGCCACAAAGACATTTTTCAGGTATTACATTTCAGTTCTATCCCTATAGATATTTTTCTACAGTTTTGTCTATATTATGCATGAATGGAAAGTTCATCTAGCCTGCAGCTACTCTCCTGCAATATCTACTATACATGTGTTGGTTATATTCATACACTTCTGCTAGACCCAAAATCTCATGGAACAGTGTGTGATCGGTATTGCATTGGTGATCATTGAGCATTGATAACTCAATTCATACGCTAGCTACATGTCAGATATTTGCAATTACTTCTGCTTTGATCTAATAGAGGAAATCTCAGCACATGATGTCTTAATTGTCAATCCTCTAATCATTATCTTCAGCAAGCATCAATTTATATATATTTGTTTTTCTTAATGTTGAAGCAGGATCGAGAGATTATCAGCATTGCTCCCTGATATTGGTGCAATACAAAAGCTTATCTGACCCCTTTCCATCGGTGGGATCGAGAAATTATCAGAATTGCTCCCTGATATTGGTGCAATACAAAAGCTTTTCTGACCCCTTTCCATCGGTGGGAGACAATACTTAGCCATTGTGTTAGGCTGTGTTTAGATCTAAAGTTTAGATCCAAACTTCAGTCCTTTTCCATCACATCAACCTATCATACATATAACTTTTCAGTCACATCATCTCCAATTTTAACCAAAATCAAAACTTTGCGCTGAACTAAACAGTCTTAGTCTATTTCACTGCTAGACTGTACATGTGTTTGTTATGCTGAAACTATTTCGTTGAATTTTATGTACGTATATCGGAAGCATGCGAGGATGTTGGCAGGGCAGTTGGACCAAACAGTTTAGTAATAAAATCTCAGAAATCCACTGGATTCGGTAACCTTGTTGCGTACGGTCAATTATCAGTTATACACATTGGATCAGCAAGGTGTGGTATAGTGTGCCGGTATTTCATACAGGCGGCGCGCGCAACGGCGCCCCATCCTCTAGTTTACCAAGGGTGTGTTTAGTTGGGGAAAAGAAAATTTTTGGATTTCACATCGAACGTTTGACCGGATGTTGGAAGGGGTTTTCGGACACGAATGAAAAAATTAATTCTTGAACTGGCCTTAAAACCGCGAGACGAATCTTTTGAGACTAATTAAGCCGTCATTAGCACATGTGGGTTATTGTAGCACTTATGGTTAATTAGGTTTAAAAGATTGTCTCGCGATTTCCTTCATAACTGTGCAATTAGTTTTTCTTTTTATCTATATTTAATGCTTTATGTATGTGTTCAAAGATTCGATGTGATGTTTTTGGGAAAAAAATTTTGGGGAACTAAACGGGCCCTAAAGCAACGGCATATTAGCTGTTGGTCCACAACTTAGTTCCACAGAAAACAAATCTGTCCAGCCAAAGATTCAAGAAGGCTACATGCTCCTTCTCAATAACAGCCCTAGTGTTGGAATCAAGTTGTTAGGATCGGATATTAGGTAGTATCGTTTTGCTCAAAGTAGTATTGTATCGTAGGATCGTATCATAGTATCGGGATACTATGAGATTTTCTTTTTTGAAAAGTTTAATTAATATTTATATTAATTATATATAGCCATTCTATATAAAAATATATAGTAATAATATATATTATGCAAATATAGACATTTATCATGAGAAATCACATTGGTTTTGATATATTTAACTGATTTCTATATATACTTGAGCATATTCGTTTACATTATTTCCAAACCATCTTATTTTAAATAATATTTTGTAATATCGTAGGGATCGTAGAATCGAGATACCACCTAAGATTTCATAGGATCGTGTAGTAATGAATAGTAGGATCGAGAGGTGGGATCGGTATCGTTTCTGCTTGGTAGGATCGTAGTATCGTAAGATACTAGAATACGAATCGGGATACTGACAACCTTGGTTGGAATGTCTGGTGATATACCCTGACCAACCACCTCCACCTTTGGTGTCCAACTTATAGTTGCACTTTGTTCTCAAACTTACGATGTTGATGAAAGAGGTTGTATCTAGGCCGGTCAGCATAGAGATATCAAGTAATGTTGGAGTCATCGACCCATGGTTCAAAAGAAGCATTCAAGGTATCTGACTAGAAATAGGAAGCTGATGGCATTAAAGGTTCATCTAAGAGTTCAGAACTGCCCTATGGGCCGAAGAAGTTCTCAGTTGCCCATCGAGTAACGAACAATGTTAAGTGGATGCGGAGGTAAGTTGGTACACACTTGGGGCCGGATCACTCCGAGCAATGACCCAAGCGTCCTTTAACTTACTAGGCAGAAAAAAGAGAGATGTGGAGCAATATTACACCTTGTTACTTTTTAGCCTGGTCTGCTGTGGGTATCGTGTGGGTAAAAAGCTAGGTAGACGTTGCAGAGTCATAGAGTATTTGAATGCGTTGTGCTCCCGGTTAATGGAGTTGTGTCTATGGGTGGATTCCAGATTATGAGCACAAGTTAAACTAATTGGCTAATAATTAATTTGGTTAATTTTGTTATTAGCTCATGTTCTGTTTAAGTTATTAGAAACAATTACTCCCTCCATTCCAAAATATAAGAACCTAGGACTGGATGAGATATTTCCTAATACAACGTATCAACGTTCCATTTGGTCCTAGTTTCTTATATTTTGGGACAGAGGTAGTATATTTTATGCTTATTAATATTGTTTAAATTAAATGTTTAATTATGTTGCTTATATTAAATGTGTATTAGGACAGACCCTATGAAATAACTGATAAGGTTTGGGTTTAAACCTTTCAACTTCTTATATTGCATTTTATTATGTTATTATAAGCATGTTTTGCTGAGTACCTTTTGTACTCATAAATGGGTTCAGATCATGAGGAGAAAGATGCTCGTGGAGATCCCGTGACTCGTTAGAGTGGGACGATTATGATTTCTAGGTCATTCTATGCTCAGGCAGTTCCTGTGGTGGAGTTGGACTGTTTATTTGTTTATAAGGTTTTATGGGTAATATATGGAATGATCATATATCAAAGTTTATGATTTTATATCATTTCATGCGTAACTGAACTTCCTAGGAGGTTATGTATTCGTGGGGCACCTTAACTTTATCTGGTGTCCCCACAAAAACCGAACCGATTAAATTAGGAAAACCGAAAGCCCACCCCTAGGGATCAGGATCGAGATGCATAGGAGGTTACGTATTCGTGGGACACCTAATTTTATCCCGTGTCCCCACAAAAACCGAACCGGTTAAACTAGGAAAACCAAACGCCTACCCCTAGGGATCAGGATCGAGATGCATAGGAAGAGGATATCAATATTGGGGAGAAGGCACAGTCTCTGGAACAGGACAGAGGACGATGCATACGGGCTAGGGCGTGGGTCGGTAACAGCTAAAGCAGTTCAAAGGAAAGATATTATTACAAAGTAGATATATTTACGCTGTTACTGCACACGAGTTATATTGTTACTATATTGATTTCATGATGGTACTACAGGTCTCAAGTAACACATAATACAATTGGCACAGTAACGTGTGAGTAAAGGTTAGTTGTATTAAAATCAATCAATAACGTGGTGGTAGCTCCTACTCATAGGAACTAAACAATGGTGTTGTCTCATATTACTACAGTAATATATAATTCTAATGGTGATTTTATTGTACGCATAATAATATAATAATAGATTTGTGAATATGCAGTAAGATGGTTTGAAGTGTACAGTAACAAACATCGCATTGTAGTTATTACATGTTATGCCAAATTCTACATCAATTACAACGGATTTTCCAACAAGCCGTACGAGATCTAGTTGTTTGAATACTAGTTACATTTCCATACGATTTGTGCTAATATTAGCATTCTCAGGCCATGGCATGAAAGATTTGAATTAGTTAGGCCTTAAACTTCTATTTCCTTTAGAATTTAGGCATTATTTTTTCCCCTTGCTTCCAAAAAAAATAGTAAAGAAACACTAATGACAACCCTTCGAGTTTTGCGTGAAGGCTATTCGCATTACAACAGTCGATCCATGCGGCAAACTTTATTTACCTAACCATACTGATATTGGCGCACATCCATGCTATGGCTGTGGCCTGCTTTGCACTATAAAAATATCTTTCCCAACCAGGCAACCTTCCACATCCTGTGCACTCCCGAACTTCTGCTCCAGATACTGGCCAATCGCAGCCAGTCGCTGACCAAACTGCTTCCTAAAGGTTGTATCAACCGACAATGGCTTCTTGCTGTAATCAACAGTAAGACGAATTACTTCTCCATTGGCAGGACCAGAGTTGTGCACCACCATCTCCTCACTGAAATTTGAAAAGGCAAGAGTGGCAACTTTTCCATCGAATTTGTTACATGACAGCCTCCACGGGGTGCCACGGGTTCCTGAAGCAAGCGTTTCACCCAGCCCAGGGGCGACCTCAGCCTGGACAACCTTGGGGTCATGGTCAGCGGGGCAAACAGTATGAAGCACGAAGGAGAGATCTGGCTGCAGTATTTCTTGGACAAGAACAGCCATTGTCGCGTCTCTCTGATAAACACCAGCGGCTCGACGGCTTAGGATGGCTCTCCTTGTGTATAAAGAAGCCCAAACCTTCCCAACCGCAGCTCCAAAGGCACATGGGTCCATGAGACTGACATTGGGAATTGAATCATAGAGACCAGCAGCTGACATACCAGCCAAATCCTCCACATTAGCACTAGATCTAACAATCAACCGGACATCCTGTGGGAAGATTCTTTTGAGAAATATAATAGTCTCCTCCGGTGGGGAAAGATGTGAAATTATTGCTTGTAGCTCCAACGCCAGGCTATCAACTTCACCATTTTCGACTTTGGCTGTTTCAATCTTTTCTAGAAGGCTTGTAAAGGATTCCAGTGATCCACTTTTCTTGAGCGCATCCTCCATTGATCCAAATGGTATCACAGCACCAGAAGGGACTCTAAAGGCTGCTGGAACTCCTTGATCACTATAGACTACACAGCAGTAAAAAAAATATCAGAAAATAATAATTAGAAGTCTTCTCTTATGAATTTATCACCTAGAAGTTTTCCATTCAACAAACATTAGCAGTAAACAACTCTATAATATCAACCCTGTACTAGAGTCACTACAATTGTTTTCCTGTGAACCATATGTACACTTTCCATCAGTTACCAACTTACCATGGATAGCACTACATTTTAACTGTCTTGGCAAACTGTTTTTTTTAATAAAGAAAATACAATGATACGTGCACTTGGATGATCCACCAAATTATGCACAGAATTGTTTACCTTATACTTTGATTACATACAAAATCGTGCAGTGTAATATATCCTAGTATTTTCTGTTCAAAACTTTCGACTTCCCCATTGATAATAATTGGAGCTTATTTAAATACTTGTTTAAACTTAAAGTCCCTCGATATCTTGCAAACCTTGTAAAGTTCCATTTGCAAAAGAACTTAGACAAAAAAAAATTTAAATGAAAACTTGATACCTTTATTAGACAATGAAGCAAGAACAGAAAGAGTTCTGCATGCAGCAGCTTTTGCACCAGCTGATTCCACTGAAGCTTCTGAAAGCTCAAGAGCAGCAAAACTACCATTCACTCCTGATTTGCTTTTTTGCTGTGGCAATGCCCACGGAATGAAAAATAAGTAAGAGCAACTGCAACAAGAATGCAGGATGCATCTTTCTGGATGATCCCTATCAAAGATAAGAAATGAAGCATCACCTTAGACATTTGCAGTGGCATCTCGATATCCGATGGTAGAGAGAATTCATTTTGGAGTTTCTGTTGAAATGGATTCCCTGTACTATTTGGTTCTGTAGAGACAGCATTGTCATTTTTTTCTGAAACTATTGAGAGATTGACATTGATGGATGATGCTTCTAATCTGTAAGAAACTAAGTTAATTTCAGTCCACCAAAAGGGAAAAGAGAAGTCCTAGAGATATACTGTTGAGAGAACAAGGCCAATTAATTCTCATTAAGGACGAGAAAGCATCTATGGAATTTGCTAACCCAAATACACAAGTGAATTTTAAATCGCAAGTCTGTTACAATGGTAGATGAAAATTCAGAGTTCAAAGTTCAATCTGATTTAAATAAAAACTGAGGCCATTTTTGGAAGTGATATTTCTCTTAGATTTAGTTTATGCTTATTATCCAAGAATAAAGCCTAATTCATGGCGTGTGCTGGAATATTCTTCTACACTTTATTCCTGCACCTTTTCTATCCCCATTCGTTCCTTTTGGCACAACTCAGTAAGTTGGAGAGTCATGACATCTTATGTAGTTAGCAGGGAGGGAAGCACCATTGGCCCACAATGAAATGGATATGCGCATCCCTAGTTGGAGAGGCTGCAAGTTATCCTTCTTTGGAGGAAGCACCAACGTTGCAGTGGTGCAGTCCTTCACCCACTAGGCTCGCAGTTGGCACAGTAACCAGAAATTATACTTCTATTATCTACAAAACCTGTAGATCGTACAACTCATGATTCCCTACTGTCATATTTTTCTATAAAGATTACTAGCAAAATGCCCATGCATTGCCATCGGAGAAAACAATTTCAAAAGAAGTGAAAAAAAATGAAGTATCAATAATGCATGTACATGGTAGTCGTCATCACAAGACATGTGTGCTTGGTTGATGAATTACAATGAAAAATTGTTATCATTTGTGAATGGTATTTAGTTTTGAAGTTACGAAGTGCAATGCTTTGATGTAGTGGTGCGGTGGTGCCTGTGTTGACTAACATGGGTCAGCTTGTGAAGAATCTATTCCCAATATGGTTGTTTGGACTATTGATACGTAGGAGGCTTGGAGTTAACCTTGCTACCGGTATTACGCTAAGAGAAGAGCCAAAACACATTGGCAAACAAACACCTTACATCACGATTGATGTGATGGGTGTAAGTCGATTTTTATAAGTGGCAAAAAACGAGAAGAAAATATCTAGAGAAATGGAAAGAGAATAGGAGAAGAAATCAAATTTTCAAATCACAAGGGACATCATATGTGCTTTGTCTGCTTAGGCTACTGTTCCTGTGGAACTATTCACCACATCATGCATGGGAGAGGTGATGAGATCTTGGCTTACGGAAGTAGGCTCATCGGCCTTGGTGGGTCATGGCCAGCTGAGGAGCCAGCCATGTGGGGGCAGGGAGGAGTGAGGCTCCCTCACACAGTGTAAGGGCATCTCCCAGCGATTGAGTTGTGTTTGAGACCAGCACAGCTACGGAGGTGACGGACCAAAATTTCTGGCAGAAATGCTATCAATTTTTATAATAGTGGAGATAAAGATATGGATTACATCATGATATAAAGCATTTATGAGTTAGCTGGTTTAAATAGCACAACTAGATATTCGAAACTTTTAACAAGATACTGAAAACATTCAACCACACAAGTCGAGATTAAAATTTCAGCCTGTTATTCAATCAACGATTCAAAATTTCTAGCAGAGCAATTTTAAAGTGTACACCACATACAAATCTAAAGTCGCAAACAAGGTCATAGTTGTCACTTAATCGTCTCTCATATTAATATTTGCACAACACACAGGAAGAATCATGGGCATATTTGTCACTTGAACAAATAAAACAGAAACTTCAAAAGATCAAAGCAAAAGAAATAACATTTCCGATGAGAACAAATCATTAGAACAGAACATGACCTGATATATTTTCCCTCAAGCAAATACACATCTGTAACTGTGTCATCATATTCACAAGTTACAAATACAACATTCTCCTGTAAATATATCAAAAGTAGCTTTCAGAAACGGCACCATCATAAGTAAAAGGAAATGAGTGTAGTAAGACTAACTTGACGAGCTCTAACACCAAGATGTGAAAGGTGAGGTAGTTCCTGAAGAAGAATAACACCAACTATATTATCCCCAGCAGCTTTGACCTATCAAATAATGAGCAAAACCATGGTTTATCAGTTATGGGGGTGATAAGATCAGCAAATAAGAACTTGGCGCTCCCAAAGTACCTCTTCATCTCCATCAGCCTTATCTACAATTAGAACCACAGGTTCTTTGACAGATGAAGGTAATGATCCAGGAAGAATTCTTTCCACCTGAATAAAGAAATCGTTTCCACAAAACATAGACAATCAGACCAGATAATAACTCAGGCCCAGGAAAAACTTCTAGTTGGACTGAGGATATTATAACCATTCCTTATTTAGTAACCTGAAGGAAATGTCTCTTGCAAGGCACTGGCCCAAGCTGATCTAATTTAATTAGAAATGAAGCATACAATAATTTACATGCATGTTTATGAAACAAATAAACATGTACTATCTCCAACAGAAAACAAGAACCTAGAGAGTAGAAAAATGGAAACAGTAGAAATTTCTATATGTCACTAATGAAAATTGAAGGCACCAAAAACCTAGATCTAGTTACTTGCCTGTCACAGGAAAATAAAATTCTACTCAGAATGCCACTCTGACAAGGATAAAGATCTTGGTTAATGCTAAATGAGTCTTATACTCCTCCCAAAACATGTGACGTCCACCCAAAATTCCAAATGTGTAATAAAACTTCAGAGAATAATGCACAGAGGAAGGGTGGACTGTGATAGATGGAGTGGAAAGGACTAGGAGACTATAAGCTAGGATGATGAATATTTGGGAGAAGAAAACATATATACAAACATGTCTTTGTCCATAAAACCACACATTTATGGTCATGATATTGCACTTCCTGTCTGAAGTGCCCTAAGCTAAGGTTCCCTTGCTCTATTGTAAGTAATCAGGTTGGTGCAACAGAAGATGTCAAGGAGTGTTTCCTACTGCAGCAACACTACAAGGAAAAAAAAATTGAGGTCTCTCTCTCTCTCCCCCTTGACCAGAGAGAACTGAGGGCAAAGCAACCTACCTTGCCAAATTACCCCAATCAGTACTCGCCCTCCCTCCCTCCCTCCTCCCCCCCCCTCCTTCCTCTCTCTCTCTCTCTCTCTACCAGAGAGAACTGAGGGCAAAGCCACCTACCTTGCCAAATTACCCCAATCAGTCCCTGGGCTGTGTCAATGGATATGCACAAAATTTCATATTAGGATTATGGTGGCAACTCAGGAAACAAGGCAATGCAAACAGAAGGAAGTTCAATGCAAGAAAGTCTGCTGCTTAGTTACAGAAAATACCCGCATCAGAGTTCCATGGGCCACTCCAGGAACAAGAACATCCCAGCCAGTTGATCCAAGTACTTCTCGAATTGCTTTCTGAAGTACTGTGCATAGTTTAGATACCTGAAAAACAATGCTAGACATATATAAAAAGTTAGGTTCAGAATAATTAGATTGATTACAGCTCCAGAAAACCACAATTTCCAGACTCTGTACAGAAAAGGATTACCCAGCACGAATTTCTGCCTCTGTGTAAGTTCTCACACTGTTATCTGGTATTCCAAGGGCTTTCCCAATAACCTATTAACAAGACAGCCACACAGAATCTAAGTTTGAAACATAACCAAACAAGACAAAAAGTCTGAGTGCAAAACTTGTATGGTCAAATATCACAAAAAAAATGTAAATCTTTAGGAACGACCATCTGAGTAAAGTTGTCCATGAACCAATTTTCCATGCTTACATGCCACTGAAAATGTCTGATCCCAGATATGCCCCTGAAATTTTGGTTCTTCCAGTTTTACCACTGCTTTTTAATTCATGCCTGAAATTGCAATCATTGTCAATGTTGCGGGATCAGCTCAGCTGACGTGCCAACAATTGTTCCGACATGGCAGTCCTACCCTTGCTTTACTCAACATGTGAAAATGGATTGACAATAACCCTAGGCATCCATTCACCATGTTATTCCATCTTAGCTTCTATCCTTCTCAGGTGATGGACAACACAACCAGTAGAAAGGAGAAGGGCAGAGGTGGTGGGCAGTATCCAGGATTTAGCTCACACAACACAGGTGTTTGAGCTGAGTGGGTTTGGGGTGGCGGATGTGTGTTGCCATAATGGCAGTCAACCACACCAACAGGTTGTACTCAGCAGCTTATTATACTATGCGTTTAAGTTTGTTGGATAATAATATTGACAACATTGTATCTTCATATTTGTTTCATTTAACTGCATGCATACAGTTGTGCATGCTGATCAGGATATATGCATACTTGCAGCAGAACATGAAGAAGTAAGATGTGATTTTCATGAGTGCAAACAGAGCACAAACTTGTCTTAAACTCTTATTTTCTATGTGATATTTTTAACAAATTTCTGCAACATGTGTTAGTTTTAATACAATGGCGTAAATGCGAGTAATAAACCTAACATGGTGACAGAACAGGAATACGAGACTTCCCTCACTTGCAAAGCAAGGGTAAATTTGGCATTTCCCACCTCTCACACCAAGATTTAACACCAGTTGGTCAACAGTCACATTTTCAGGCAAGGATTAAAACCTCTTGTAGGCTACCGATTTTATCTTGTTAGACTAAAGCAGTGACAAATAAATAATCGAAATTTCAGTGGCATATCTAGGACAGGAAAATTTATATGGCATTAAGGAATTTTCCATACGAAGGTTTGGTTTGAGTCTGAAGCAGGTTGTGATAATCTCGTTCAGTTTAGCAGTTAAAATGCTATTAATTTCCCGTGTCCATCTAGCTACTCTTTTTCTTAATCAAGTTGCGAATGGGTTTATTTTTTTCAGACCATTTAAGATGAAATGTGACAAGAAATGGGGAAAAAAATGATTTATCTAACTATAACCTGACTTACCAAGCAGTAATATTACACAATGGTTTCTGTTTTGAAAAGAGCAAACCATACCATGATAACAGCAAACTAAGCCTACGTCAAACAATATGAACATAGTTGTATACCATTGAACATTTTTTTTCATTAATGGAGTTAAGGTCCTCTAGCTTCGTTTAATACACTCACCATTACTTTTTCAGGGAATATAGAAAGAAGTGCTTCAGAGTACTCTTCCGTTAATCTCCGTGCTCTGTCCAGTGTAGCTTTAAGTCTTAGTGACCAAATATATTTCCCATCTTCACAACCTTCACACATGACAAGAAACAGTCAGGGTATTTCTGAGTCTTGACTACAATAAAGGTATTTAGGCATGGGCATATAAAATAGATAGATATTAAAGAAGAAACAGCACCTTCACTTTCAGATAGACCTTTTTGCTTCCAGGAAAGAATCTCATTCCCTATGGCAATACATTCATCTGTTTTCCAACCTGAAAAGCTAACTTGATTGATGCCAATGACAAGGGCATCAAGAGTAGTATCCCATAGAGTAGTATTTCTAGCTACATCCTTTGCAAGTGAAGCTGATCCACCTAAGGCTTCAAGAGTATTGATGAATCTGTTATAGTACCAGAGCAAAGTACATAAGCTCACTGATACCGCCAAGAGTAATATAAGTTTGCCTAGCTACGATTTTATTTTGAAGCTATAAATGATAACATAGAGTCATGGAGTGAATTAACCTATAAATCATAACAAATAAGTCAGCAAAAATTGATACCATTTTAATCAATGCAATGCATTAGCATTATTTGGAAAAACAGACTGCAAAGTCTATCTTTTCACTAAAGCACAAAGGAAATTAGTTCACTGTTGCAAAAGTCGAACAAGTGAAATACACTGTTCTTCTCACTTCACACACACACACACACAAGTAGGTGATGGACTGAAGGTGTTTTCAGTTTGCTACAATAGCTACTTCTGCTAGCTTGCATTACTACCAATTATAGAGAACATGTTTCAGTCGATTCTGCTCCAAAACCAACATATACTACAGCTGCTTGCAATCTCTGCAGGTCTCTGATTACTACTGATCCTAGAGCAGGAAAACTCTATCCTGACTTCTATCTTGTCAAAGGAAACTTATTAGCCCAGCAGCCTACAAACATTTCTAGTGTTCAGACATCAGTTGTTATGGGTTAGGGTTCATAGGGGTAAACACCGCCGGGAGGATGGTGACGGCTGCTAGGGATGAGAGAGGGACTTAGGTTGGGAGAGACTGATTCATCGCTTAATCCAAAATTCCAAATGACGATACAATCCATCCTTATATAGATGGATAAGATGGAGGGAAAGACCCAGTCTAATCCTATCCAACCAACTCTATCCAACTGAGCTACCATAGGATGATGGAACTGATCCCTAGGGCCTCAACCCATCGGCTCACTAGGACCTCCACCTCTCGGCCCACTACCTATGACAACAGTTGCCTACAATCTATTGTTTGTACACATGAGTAAGCTGCTGGTTTTATTTAACAAATTTGATGCCTAAGCATTAGATTCACCTAACAATTATGACTCTGCATGCCCTCGAATAGATCAATATCCACTCTATATATGCACATAGATAATATGGCTTCACTAAAGATGACTACATCACATGAGAGTGCAACCTCTACATTCACTTTTTATCCATATTCGTCAGTATTTTCCTTTAATATTTGTATTCAACAAGACTCCACACCACATGATATAGATAAGCTTGAAACAGGGGTCAAAAAGAGGTAGGGCACTCGTCCACATCTATCCAATGACTTTTTCCTATCATGATAGAGAGGCTTCAAGCAATTCTTGGTTTCTCATTGCAGAATTCTAGTGGTAAATTAGTTGATCTTATTGGGATAACTCAAACTAATACAGTAACCATACAACGTTTCTATCAAACCCCTAGCAATTTGTTTACTTAATCCAATATGGTCCTTCTGGATCAAAAAGAGAAATCTAGTATGCAATCAAATTTATGTTCTGACATAATCAAGAAAAAATTGCAATTCATGCAGCCATCAGTTTTCACCAGAGCAGCCCCCACTTCATATATACCCAAAGTAAATACTTTATTTAAAGATTGATTATGGCATGTTAGTGTCAATAAATTTTCGATTGCCCACTAGTTTGGAAAGGTATGTGCTTTTTTAGAGAGCACTGATGCATTTTACAAGTGCATACAAACTAATCAACAAAGAACATAAAATCTCAAAAAGTGACGACTATTGACTAGTAAGACAAATGAAGGGCGAAACTAACATTTCAGAATGGAAAGAAAAGGCAATTCAAAAGTACAATTTCATAAGGTTTGTGAGAAAGCACCAATTAAAATCACTTAGTTGAAACTAGGACAGTTACCTGCTTAACAGAACAAATGAATAATCCTCAAGACTAATTTCACAAAGGCGCCACTGCAAAACGTAATCAAGTATCGCTTGTGATATATGCAGCCAATTTCAACCACTTATCAATTATGTTAGACAAGATAACCTTTTGTCGCATTGCTATAGCATTATCAGGCGCATCATTTCTAAGGCCACTTTCAAGGCCCTTCATTAGAACCGATCTTAGAGAAGATAATGATTGCAAGGTAGTCATCAAAATTTGAATGGTATCATTTTTATCCAAATCTTCTGCATGATCCACTTGGTCCAAACTCTGAAAAGGAAGATAAACACGAAAGGAATATGAGTTAGGCATGACAATGATAAGCAATGATGCCAGACCAGTACTACTTGTTCCTCTATTGAAATACCAGAAAGTAACAAATGTCGGTATCAACTGTCAAAACATAGAAATAACAAGGACATAGTGCAATGCAAGGTGACATAAATTCGTATTTATAAGTTTATTTGATTATGTTATGTTAGGTAACCAGAGCACAGAAGTGTCTGATTGAGAGTGATCCCTGGTAGAGCATTATCCGCAACTCCAATGCAAAGGAAATAAGGAGATAATTAATTGATGATCATACATATAAAGAAAAATTAACTGGTTTCAGCAAAGTTTACCCTTTTGGTTTCCACAAAGGATGAGAGAACTTCTAAGCCTGACTCGTTCAGAGATTCCTTGATGGACTCCAGTTGCTCAAATAGGCTGTGAAATCGGTAATCAGGTTAGACAATTTATATTTACATGGACACTATATGACCAACAGGCATTTGAATATCTAACACACTAAACATCTGCTTTTTTTCAATTTTGTTTTATAAATTTATTTTGTAGTAATCTGTTATTACTTCTTAAGGTTTGATTGCAGGTTAGCAGTACATGGCAACTTTTTTTTTTTATTCTAGTGTACATCTAAAAGGGCAGCCACATAGGCATTAGGCAGCACACGGCCTCCTAAGCATGTCTGTTGCCTGACTAGAACTTAGAAGTTCTAACCCTGGTGAACAATTACATGAAACCCAGAATTGACAATATAAATTGAAAGTTTAATTCCTTATTTCATTCCATGTCACTGCGTTGAAGTTGAATGCATTATAAGGCTCGTTCAGAACTACAAATTCCCATCTTCTACTCCCTTGTTTTACGAGTGCACGCTTCCCGAACTACTAAACGGTGCATTTTTTTCCAGAAAATTTCTATAGGAAAGTTGTTTTAAAAAAATCATATTAATTCATTCTTCAAGTTTTTTTAGCTAATACTTAATTAACCATGCACTAATGAGCTACCTCGTTTTCCATGCGGGATGAATGAGTTACAAATCCTCAGGTTCGAACACAGCCTAAGGGTGTGTTCTTTTATCCCCTTTCTCAACTTCTACTCCCTCGTTTTACGCACGCTTCCAAATTACTAAATGGTGTGTTTTCTACAAAAAAAATTCTATATAAAAGTTGCTTTAAAAAATCACATTAATCTATTTTTCAATTTTTTTAGCTAATACTTAATTAATAATGTGCTAATCCACCGCTCTGTTTTGTGTGCCAGAGGGGAAGGCCGGAAGGGTTCCCAACCCTTCCAAAAGAACACAGCCTTACCTTCACTGGTGCCCTGAATAAATATATTAAATTCTTAATACCAGCATTATTGCAAGAAATATGTGCATATACTAGCAGCACCAGTCTGGTGTTTTTCACAAGTTAAGACCTTGATTTATCTTTCTTTGTGTGAATTCATGGGTCGATGGGGGACTACCATCTGTCTATCTCTATCACCGTAAAATTACCACTGCTTCTAGTTATAAGTAGTCATGAATTGGAAAGCTATAACTGGCATAAGGATGTTTTAGTACACAGTAGGATAGATAAGTTCAAAAAGAGAGTGACAATTTTGTTAGCTTTTTCAGCAAACAGAAAACTTATATCTATGGAAGTAGGAAAATGGAAAATTGTAAATTAGATAACCTGCCAGCATTGAAGAAATCTTTTAGTTCGCTATAAAATATCGTGAATTGTTCAACAAATGTTTCACTGTATTCTCCAGGGGTCTTAGTAATCCTAGCAAGCATGACTTCTGTAGCAATAAGATCCTCAGGTCCAGCATTACGATGAAGTTTGTTTTGTATAGTATGCTTGATTTCTTGCTGTCGACATGAAAAGATCAAACTAAGTAAAGTAATCCAATGAAGAGATTGTTCAAAACTGCAGAAAGGGATCACCACCTTGAGATCATGTGGGATGTCATTCCGGTGAGCAATATCACGAATTCGTGTTAGAGGGACAGAGGCTGTAAACTCTGACTTAAATGAAGGTAAAAAGGGATGAATTTTGCGAATCACGAGAACATCCTGCACAAACATAATTGGAAGTTGGCAAATAATAGATATACCTTTTCCCAAATGTTAGTCTGGCAGAGCCAGAATGTGCTCGAGAGTAGGGCTGAACTAGTATAATCTACATAAATTTGTCTTTTGTCTTCCATTTTTCAAATTTTAAAGTATAATTTCAATGAATATTTGGGCATAGGAGTAGGGCTCTAGCCCTAGCTGCCCTACTCCTATATCCACCTGAAGATTTAACTAACAGTCAAGCATTACATAGTTAGCAGAGCAATCATTTAATAGCAATTATATAAAAGTTGGACCATTTTCATGTGCTTAGCCTCAGTTAATTGGGATAACTACCATACGAATGGGACCAAGGACAGCACAGAGAAATATAAGGGATCTTAGGTCAAGGAGGCTATCAATTGGGACGAAGAACATGATTACATGAGAGACTAGATTAATTATTTCATATTGCTTGCTTAATCAAAGGATATCCTTATATAGATATGATTGGGTGGAGCATTAAGGGGAAAAAATAATAGCTCTCACTAAAATAAAGCAGCAGAGTCCTGCTACAATACGTCGTGGACACTATTCACTCTACTTTTTAAGGGAACAAAATTGTAGTAGTTCATCTTGATTAAAGGCATTGTGATCTGACTATAATCACAATACTTGAAAATGCTGATGCTGATGTAACATTTTGTTACTACGATGAAAGGGGCAATTAACCTTGGCTGATGTGGTTTTCCCATAATACATCATTTCAAGTTCACGGAATATTTGCCTCGATATCTCAGCATGTTTGTTAGGCCGATGGTGGCCACCATCTTCAAAGCACGATATCTGACCTGTATAAATCCACTGAAATAAAATATAAAAAAAATCAAAGAAAGCTATGAATAAACTGTTATACGGTCTTATTAACTCCAAATTATATAATCCTAGAGAGGAAAATTAGATTTATAGGACCATTGACATAAAACAATTGTAAGGAGAAACCTTCAGATAAATAGCTGAGTATACAAGGGCCCCCAGACGACTCTGGTCATCAAAAGATTCTGACAATATCCCGCGAACAACCTCTAACTGCGAAAAGGAAAATATGAATTAAATTAATATAAATAATTAGGTAGACAGGGTTATAATATACCTCCCTACAAAACAACTACCTACACCGGCCCTAACTCTCAATGCACAAGGGGGACTCCCCTCTGTCCGCTCGCATTTGTTCATTAGATTCAAACCCATAATCTCCACACATATGTTTGCTAACATAACCAACTAGACCAACACGGAAGCACTAAAGTAGAGAGCAAGCTAATTTACATTACTAGGATATTACATTTTTCATGAAATAGCCAGAACTTTTGAAAAGATTTCAGTAACCACTGACAATCATGGGGGTACAACTATGGCTTGATTTGTATAGATGTATGTAGATATATTTGTCTGTGCTGCTGCACCATTTAGTTGTTCGTGCGCAGTAGAGGTGCAAGAAACACAGAAAGATCTGACGGCAACAGCACTACAAACTAAAAAACATACAACCAAAAGATTACTGCATTTTGTTTGCAGTTTTATAACACTATTATGACCAGTTCTAAGTATAGGATTAGTGCACAATGACAGCTAATACCCTGCAATATAAGCCGGTCAAAGCCTGCAGTTCATCTTCAGCTATCCTTTTTGTAAACGATCATCTTCAGTTACCTTCAGCGATGACTGAAAAATCGCTGCCTCAATATCGCAGAGAAAGAGCTGAACTGTTTATAGTTTAGTCCTGTTCAGATTCTTATTTCACAAATAAATCCCTGAGAAAACTAATTGCAGGAATGGACCCCTTGGCTCTTACTTTTTTTTTCCCTTTCCAATATATTTTATTGTTGTCTTACAAATTTGGGAACATAAATTACATACTAACATTTAACTTTATATCTACAAATAAAGAGGACTACATGTAAAAAAACAGAACATGTAGTATATATCATTTCATATGTTTCAAGTTAAAAAATGGAACATGTAGTTTTAAAATAATATTGGGAGAATAATAGTCAACATAAATTATATAATACATTTAACTTTATAGCTATAAATAGAAAGTACTCCCCCCATCCCAAAATATAAGCATTTTGAGGTTGCTTAGCAAATACTAAGGTTAATGAAAAAGATTCCCTTTCAGTCACCTCAATGGTCAAATTTTGAATTGCTTAGATTCCCTTCCCAAGCACCTGACTAGCTGAAAATGTATGGATTTTCATGCAATGAACTCAGTGCCCCAGAAATGCTTATATTGTGTGACAAAATTCAATCCTAGAGAGCTTACAAATTGATAATTTTCACATTTAGGAATAAAGATGAATTTACATATAAAATATGTAGGTTTTCACTTTTCAATGAAAATTAGGGGAGTACAAATGTAGGATTGATAGGAGAAAGGTCCGTAAAAAGATATCGTCAGTTTGAACCTTGCTCTCTTGGATGAAAAGCAAAACCCTTACCACTTTGTTGGCATTGTTTTGTTGTGAGGTAATGTCTTCCACATCATTTTTGAGTGGTGCAGAGGTCAGTGCCAAGCATTGGCATTGACCTCTGATAACATGACAAACTCACAGAAAGAGCTCACCAGCACTGAGGCATTATAGCTCAATGCCTTTGAGGCTGGATCTGAGCAAAGGGTACATTCCTGCAATTAGTTTTCCCAAGAAACCAGAAAGTGCTAAATTACAAAAAGTTCAGGACAAAGAGGGTTGGTAGCTATTCTGCACTGTAATGGTGTATTGCATTGTCATAAGATAAGCAGATTTTTTTCCTAAACTGCAAACTAGCTTTAAACATACTGGCTTTATGGTGGCTACACAAAATATTCCGTAGCATGGCATAAATATTTATTTCAAACCCTGAAGAGACAGAACCGATCAGAGAAATAGGCGCTGCACCACCTTTACTCAGTTATATTCTCTCCAATTCCATGTCAAAAACAGAAAAAGCAGTAACCAAGGTTTGGATCTCAATTCTCAAATATTGGTATCAACTTTTCTTATTGTTTTCCTGTTCTTTCCAGCCAACATCACCTCCTGCTCTAGCTAGCATGCACTAGCTAGCAGCCAAGGTTTCGATCCCAGTCTATGTCACATTTTATCAAACATTTAACCATCAAATGTTCTGGGCCATCAAAAAGTTTGGATCATCATTAGGCCCACATATTGGCTGAATGAAATATTGTTGCCTGGTTTTTTAAGCTAAGGATCCTGGTTTTTTCTTGTTCAACCGATGGTCCAGGCCAGGAAATAGTAACACTATTTCAATCCACTCAACTGGTACCTAAAAGTATTAAACACTTCTAAGTACTATCCAGGAATGGTATAAAAAATAAGTATCGAACTTCTGCACGTAAATAAATAAATAAATGGTAAAAACTACTCCCTCCGTCCTAAAATATAAGAAGTTTTGGTTGGATGGGACACTAAGAATATGGACATAGGATGTGTTCCATCCAACCAAAACTCCTTATATTTTGGGACGGAGGGAGTACATGGAATATAAGACCCATTTGAAAAGGAATTAACTATAAAGCAACTAACCTTCCGCCACCAGTTCCTGGATGCTTTATCGCCCTCCACCAGTTTCAGTGCTATTCCATCAAGCCCAGTTGTATCCCACATCCTATCAGCCTCCTTATTCAGATGCTCATTTGATCTCATGAAAACAGTTTTACTTCCTTGCCATTGCCCACCAAATTTGCTTGACTCGGCCTCTGGTGCTGGATCACCATTCTCAACAACTGAAATATCTTGAACTTTTTCAGGTGCAAAAGTTACAGATGCTGAAGCATCCTCGCCAGTATTCTTTTCAGCTTCTCCGACCAACTCAAACTTTGGTGTTCCTAAAAGTTCTAATGGCTCTTCTGTTCTATTCCAGTGGCATACTATATCAAACTTACCATCCTTCGGCAGCTCAACAACACGGTTATTACCATCTTCCCATATTTTATCTTTTCCTCCCACCAAAAATATAACAAATTTAAACTCCACAAGTGTTTCTCCAGGGAGCTTAAGCTGGCAGACCCAACCATTTGTAGTCCATTCCAGTTCAACCTGCTCCTCCCATGAACCAAGCTCCTTTGTGGAACCGATAATGCCTACATGCTCACCAAACTTAACCTGGTGCTCTAGACAAACCTGGAGATGCACCAATGGCTGCTTTGAAGAATCTCTTCTCTTTTTCTCCTTTGTTCTGTACAATGTACAGTCAAATTATAGCAACTGTAACCAATTAATTGTCCAGAAAATTTAAGTTTGTAAACTGGAAAGTAAATGTGTGCAATAAAACTCTTTAAAATGAACCTTTTCAGGTTCACAATTTTAGTTAATCACTTGAAGCCAGAAAAGAAAAGGCAAACCACCATTGTGGAAAAATAATAATAATGACAGACAGATTGTCAAGGAATATGGAGATAGTCAGTTAGTATACAGAAGTCTAGATAATGAAATTACGTTACATTATCTCTCATTCAAAATTTAAATAGCAATCAAGTGTAACCATGTTTCATTGATCCTGAAGGAACTATAATAACTTAAGTAAACAAATAACGAATGCAGTCTATCTCAGTTTATTATGCTTTTATTTTCTCATATACCGCTACGTTGGTCCAATATTTGGCATTTCTTTGATTGATCCCTTGGTTACATTAGGTAGACTTGTTGTGTTGTTGCTTACTAGTTTCCATATAAACTTGTTCTATTGGGCTGTATCACAAGTTTATTAGTAGCAATTTCCAATCGTACGATGTTGACAGAACTAGAGTTGCAATGGATAATATCCAACACGAAAGACATCTCGGAACAAACTATACAATACAACTGCCCCCAACACACAGAGCTTCGCTCTACCAGGTTTATTGCACGCAGCCTCATGAAAGCATAAGAGAGAGGAGGAAAAAAAGAACAAGATATCACCTCTCTGCCGCCGAGGCCGCGGATCTCCCGCGGCACGCGAAGCCGCGCCGCCCAGGGAGCGCCATCGCTCCCCGGCGGAGCAGCACACCCGCACCGACTCCGGGCGGCGGGAGGACGAGACCACGGCGCGGCCTGCCGCCTATGGAGAGCGAGGTTTCGAGGGGCCGCAGCGACGTCATTGATCCTCCTCAACGGCAATCCGCCGAACAGGTGGCGGTCGCTCCCGGAAGGCGTCGCCGCGTCGGTTTGTTCGAGAAGGCACGGAGGGAGGGGAGGAGGAGGATCTGGGGCTCAAAAGCAAGCGAGCGAGTAGGCCTCGGACCGCGTGCGAGGAGGATGCGCTGCGAGGAGGACGGGTGGAGTGGAAACGAGAAGAGGGGCGAGACGATCGGGGTGGTGCCGTCGTGGCAGACTGACAGGGGAGGGGAGGAACGAGTGGACGGGCCGACGGGGTTCCCGTGACCGTTTGACCGGCCCCATGCGCGACCACCGTACTTATCATATATTCGGACCTGTTTGGAGAAAGTTTAATAGTATAGGTAATTATTAGCTTCAATTTATCTATAGCTAATCATATCTTATTTATATAATAGTTAACTATAAATATATATTATATCATCAATATATAGTCCCACCTCTCATACACACTCAACGTATTGGAGTCCGTTCTGCAGTCTGCTACAAATATGTAGCCCGTTTTCGTCTCTCTCTTCTCTTCTCTCCTCCACATGTGCTTACAGTTGACTTAGGAGTCCATTCTGCCGCCTGCTATAAATCTGTAGCCCGCTTTCCTCTCTCTCTTCTTTTCTCTACTCCACATGTGCTTACAGCTGACTTATAGCATGTTATTGTACTCGCTCTTAGCATGTTATTGTACTCGCTCTTAGTTCACGAAAAGAAAATTTTTGGTTGTCACATCAGATGTTTGACCGGATATCGGAAAGGGTTTTCAGACACGAATGACAAAACTAATTTCATAACTTACCTAGAAACCGCGAGACGAATCTTTTGAGCCTAATTAATCCGTCATTAGCACACGTGGGTACTGTAGCACTATGGCTAATCATGGACTAATTAGGCTCAAAAGATTCGTCTCGCGATTTCCCCTCTAACTGTGCAATTAGTTTTATTTAAATATATATTTAATGCTCAATGCATGTGTCCAAAGATTCGATGTGATGCTCTTAGGAAAATTTTTTGGGGGAACTAAACCAGGCCTTAGGTCGACGCCATGTGTTACTACCATAATCCCTCATGTTCCGCGTGCACGCTTTTCAAACTGTTAAACGGTACGTTTTTAGCAAAAAGTTTCTATAGGAAAATTGCTTAAAAAATCATATTGATCTATTTTTTGAAAAAAATAGCGAATACTTAATTAATCACGCGCTAATGGAGTGCTTCGTTTTCCGTACGCGAGATATGTGTTGCCAACCTAGCTGCCGAATACAACCTTAGGCCATTCACAGTTCATCACACTATTTTGAGGAGCCTTAGAGTGCCATGTAGGCTAAAGCTACGGGTCCAAAATCTGGTTCATCACAGTGCAAGTGGCTCTAGGAGTGGCTTTAATTTTACTCCCTCCATCCACAAAAGTTAGACATATTTCACATTTGAGTTTTTCCAAATAAGTTGTTCCTATTTGTAGTCTTTATGCATTCAAGACTTAAAGACTTAAAGAAGAGATAAATTAAATGTTTGATTAGAACCCAAGGAGTCATATAAATACTCATTGGTTGCATGGTAGCATTCGCCCACCAATTTATCATATGCCTCTATTAATCTAGTCTTAGCATATCGATTTAGCTCTATCGGTTGCTTCTTGCTTTAGGGTTTCTGCTAGTATCGGCTAAATCGTCTTGCTAGATTAGATTAGCTTAGACATCCACCACCCTGAAAATCAGTCAAGGGCTTGATTGTTTAGATATTGTGTTTCTTTTCATACTTAGTGCTGCATCAGTTAAGTTTAATCTACTAAGTCGTACTTAAAACCATAATCTCTAGCATACTTTTTGATTGCCAATAAGGGTTTCATCAGAGTTTCAGCCGATGAAGTATCTAGACGTCGCATCGGCTTGTAAGGATTACATACTGTTGATGTGAAAACACGACGGCCTGGGAGATCTGCTTAACTCCAGTGCAGTTCCAAAGCTAGGCTCGAGTGTGTCAATGCCAGCTGATTTGATCCTACAATCAGCAAGAAAGAATAAAAGCAGAATCAGTCGATCGATAGCGTATCAGCCGACGGAGTTAGACCAAATCGGCTATGGACTGGATATATCAAAGAATAATAAACCCTAAACATACCCAATCGACTGTAATACTATCTATGAGTTCAATAGATTGATTTAAGACAATATTATGAAAGTAGTCAATGTGCAGTCTGTTGACGGTCATTATCGATCAGTTGCGCCCGTCAATATTACCAAAATAAAAGATAACTAGTTATGCTCGCAATGCATATTTATGTTAGAATAAGTTATATTCCACTAGCACTAGGATTCTAACCTCTTCAAGAGAATAAATACAAAATGGAGGAGAATCAGTAGCAAAACATACAATCGATCAATCAGACGCTATCGAGAATCAGACTTGCGGACAAGTGGGCTGAGAACACCAAATTGACACGTCCAAAACAGCCCAAAATTCACAAGTATACAGAAAGGAGCAAAAGAGGAGGCCACCAGCCGAGACTTGCGAACAAGTGGGCTGAGAACACCAAATTGACACGTCCAAAACAGCCCAAAATTCACAAGTATACAGAAAGGAGCAAAAGAGGAGGCCGCTAGCCAAGATTGTGCTGGTTTGGCCTAGCCCATGAACCCGCCGTGCAACCGTTTGATGCAGGGCTGGCGCTGGACGGTCTAGATTTCTTCCCTACAGCGGTTGGAGGGTATTACCGCACATTTCCAACTGCCATAACCATCATTACTAGGCTATTTAAGGCCTTCACCTCCTTACTTCTTCCACATACTCAAGCAAGGGGCTTCTCATACATTCTCTCAAGTTCAGTTAGTCTCTACAATATAGTGGAATAGAAATAGAATAGAGTCTTCAGTCCTCGGAGTTTTCGGAAGAATTCGGGTATGGCTCTAGTAGCTTTTCCTTCTTTTGTAAGACATGTAATATTTATAGAATTTTCTTTTCAATATATTTACGATACTTTGCTTCATTCTAATCATTTGGGTACCGACTTTTCGATATATTATTCGAGATATACTTGTCTAGCTAGCTTACTCAGGAGATGCAATTATGTGGGTATAATGTTCATTTATATGTTTGCTTATTTCATGAGGATGATAGTAGAGTAGTATTTGGTAGCATAAGCGAGGTGCTTAGGCTATTGAATATTATTATTTGGGGTTATATGCTGCAGAACAGTAGAGGTGGGCCGCTGATGGTGATAGCTCAGTATGGGTATTCCTCCATGTTAGTATATAATCCTAAGTTACTTTCCTGTGGAGGGTACTCCTCCATATTTTGCCCCATTTGGATGGCAATGAAGGGTTGTCGTAAGGAACTCGGCAACCAGGGGTGGTCTCTCGAAACGCCAGGAGGGCATCGTAAGGGGGGTATTGGCTATATAACTATATAGTAGATAATATTGACTAAAGTTGTATGTATGTATATTAGAAGTATAGGAAATGATTATTTTCTTATTCTTTTCCACTCAGCCTAGAATCAGTATGTATGAGAATATCGAGTGCTTCTGCTTTGTGTCACTCTACCCTTGAAATGAATTAACCCCTGCTTAGATTTTGATTATCACAAGTAACATATAAATATTAGCTTGGTTCTCTCTATTATAATCTTCCCATGGGATTAAACAAATACGATACCCTTGGAATACTTTTAGGTAAAATGCTACAATGGTATATCCGTGCGCTTGCGGATATGGTCTGTAACCATAATATACCATGAATATTTCTGTGCTATTGCTAGGAATTATATTTCTAGTAATGTCGTTAAGAAATACAACCACAGTCCAACTTCGAATTCAGTTAGATTCAACACCAAATCCGCTTTGATCTTCTTTCTTCTTCTCCGAATTTGCTGCCAAATTCCGTTGTTAACACATACAAGTTAGAGTTAGCCGATCGTAACAGAGGTTTCACTATTTATCTAATCTCGTGGATTTTATGACATCGGACCTCTAGCCGATGTATGCTATAACCTTCGGATCAGTGCTTATTCTATCATATCATTATTAGCCGATTGGTTTCTACTAGATTATATTGTTGTTTTGTTACATTATCATCAGCTGATTGTCTTTATATCATTTATTTACTCAAGTATCAGACTCTGCATTGGACATACAACCGATTGCTTAAAACCCTATCGGCATCGACATACAGCCGATTGCTTAAAACCCTATCGGCACCGGCTAATATAGGCATCGGCTGGAATTACTCCATCGGCTTGATCAGCTCATTGATCTACTATTTGCATATCTTATCAGTTGCAGGATCAAACTGACTGGCACGCCCACATCTCATCAACTTTTGGACCTGCACTGGAGCTAAGCAGATCTCCTAGGCTGTTGTGTTCGTCGACTTAGTTCGTGCCAATACATTTCCGGCACCATCAACCGAGCGTGGATTTTTCATCAACACCACCCCACCGTCGGCGCGCTCTCTCCCTACCACCACACCACCGGTGCACCTCTCTCCCTACCACCCCACCGTCGGCGCCACTTTTCCTCCTCATCTCCGCCGGGCTATCCCTCCACCTTCCCCGTCGGGGTGTCGGCGGAAATCGAGCGACGAGCTCGGCACCGCGTGCGGGGAGAGGCGACCGAAGTGGCGGCGCCCGGGCGGAGAGGTGGTCGAAGCGGCGGTGACCCCGGGCGGAGAGGCGCCGGATCCCCCCTCTCTCCTGTGGGATGAGCTCGGGGATGACGCAGCGGCTTGCTGGAACTCCCTCTCTCCTGCGGGATGAACTCGACGACAATGCGGGCCTACTCGCTTGTAACGTCCCGCCTCTCCCAGGCCGGGACCACTTACATCTGGCAGCTTTTCTTGGATATAGACTGCCCTCACAGACGAACACAAGTCTTTTCTGCACACTTTGTCCTCACTCATGTGCACAGGGGAAGAATTTCCTGGTCAGTCACCCATCCCGAAATTGCTCCAGGCCAAGAAAAAGAAGTTGCAACTTGTTGGTATGAGTATTCTATTAATCCTATTAAACCCTGGGCCAGGATGTCACATCGCTCACTCGTACACACGGGACGGCAAGGACAAGCGCAGGAACGACGAAACGAGGTAACGACCTCCACAACGTGCGCAAGTGCTCGCTCCTCACGCCGCTTGCCCTGGATTTGGCCGAGGAACACGTGACCAAAGTTGGACGCGCGGACTTCAGGTAGATGCGGCATAAGCTAATGTGGCGTGGAATATTCGTTCGGGAACGACGAAGCCGAATGTCAACTAGACTGTCACACCCGGAGTT